TATCCAATTATCTTTCAAGCATATTTTGATATTCTTAAGCATATTTCTAAGTCTAATTAGTCACATACATTTTAAAAAGTCTCTAAGAAATGTACCATAATTTAAAATTTAACAAATAATAAGCTTCATGGTTCTGAATAAAGTAATAAGTGGCAGATTTGTGAATAGAAGCCCTACATAGTAAGTTCCTTGCAGACACAGCCCATGGCCAATTCATCCTTTTTCCCCTAACATCTAGCCTCTGAGCATATTTGGCAAGCATATACTGAAAGTCTAATCAGTCAACAGTTCTGATTAGAGTCATGCATGATTGGCTCTTTAAATAACAGAAACAGTCCAATTCTGAAAATAACATTTTCTGGTGGACAAATAATTCTAGACTGATCCTTAAAGGAAGAGGAGGGCTACTGTTTTACCATACAAAAGACCCATAATTACTACCTTCATAGTGAGATTCCAATGATGCTATTGGATGTCAAATTAAATGTTGTTTATGGGCAGAAATGACATGAATATATCTAACCTCTGGTACATACAGGGCACCAACTAGTCAGAACAGACACCATGACCCAGCAGAAGAATGCCTCAGTAGGTAAGGACAGATACCAGTGTAAATAACCAGTCAAATGCATAGTGTAGGACATGAACAACAGCCCTGCTCATAAGTCCTTGGAGATGAGGAGCAGAGATATGGTTAATGAGGAACACAGAGAGATCGATAAGAGGAAAGAGGGCCACAGATCTAGACTACAATGTGAGGACTTGTTTTGAGGAACAGGATACAGCACAGTTTCTAGCATTTAAGCACATAATCCATATGTCTTGTAGCAAGGCACAAGGGTTACTAAAAAGGCCGAGCAAAGATCAGATGCTTGCATATTTTGTGCTGGATAACCTAAATGTTGACCTCAGAGGTGCTGACAAAGGATGGGAGTGGTCCAATGGTCTCCAGGGTTAAATCAAACTTGTAGGATGAGATTACTTGGCTTAGCAGTGGGGAAAGGAGAAAACCACTCGGACTCTGAAAACAATGTCATGTGTTTGCAGGGACGGCGTCCTTTCTTCTTTCCTCCTTTTGTTTTGTTTCTGTCTGAATTAGCTAGAATCAGTTTCTGTTCCTTGCAATCAAAGAATAATTGTTACATAAGATGTTGTGCCTTATTCCTGGCACAATCCCTATTAATTCTACCTAAGTTCATTAGCTCTTTGAAGAACCAAGTGCTTACTCATTAGGTATTTCCTCAGGTGTTCATGTGATTGTGGATTTAGCTCTAAAATATTTCAATGCAAGATACTGGACAAGAACTACCTGAGCAGGATTTAGCAACATAAGTAACAGACTTTTTTCCCCATGGCTTTACATTGAAGAGACCATCGTCTGTTACTGACCACTGCCAAGTTCTAACACTCCACAGTCCTATCCTTTGGTTCAAGCTGCTTTTCTCCCAGAAATGCCCTTCCTACCATCTTCACCTGTAGAAAATATATTTATCCCCAAAAGACTGATTTAAACATCAGCTCTGCAAAGCCTTCCCTATTTCCCAAGATAGAACTAATCGCTCCACATCTGTGATTCCTGGCAATGTCACCTCTGTTGGAGCAGTGCCCTGATGTGCCTTGAACTGCAGATAATTGGATTCCTCAAAGAATTCATCTTAGGTTACAGGGCTACAACAAATGTTAAAAGTTATATTTATGACTCATTGGTATAAAAATGAGTAAGTTAATATTATACAGTAAAAGTTTCTTTGACCCCCAAAATTCATTTCTTTCTTCCAATTTCAAAAGAAAACAAAAGATTTTCATGGACCTTTAAAAGCAGAGTGGACCCTTGGCACTGCACACACTTTGTCCAATGAGTAAGTTGTCCTTGTGTGCCTATGCTCTCATTTCAGCATTTTTCTCACTTATACAATCCATAGCCTAAAGGACTTCTTCGAAGAACAGGTTAGTTTCAGAATGTGGGATAGAACCTGTGGATGAAGAAAGTCACCTGCCATATCAGTAAACAAAGGATGCTCCATCAGCCACTGCAGCCATCAGGGCTGTGCACCCAGAGGGGATTCAGGATGGAGAAGAGCAGGATTCTGGCCCTGGATAGTTAAGATGCACATCAAAGGAATGGTTTCAATGAACTCAAACTATTATAGCTCCTCAAACAAACAAAAAAAGTGCTAAATTCATTAACATAAGATATCTGCTTTTCTTTACTTAATCTTAATCTTTACAGTAATCTTTTGATGTTCTGACTACCTGGTTTTTGTTGCAAAAACTCCTTTATAACCTGATTCCTCCCTTACCTCTTTGGAGCAGTTCCTCAGAGCTGTCTGAGAGGCTGTCTTCCTGTCTTTAGTCCCAGAAAGTCAGTTGAATAAAACGTAATTCTCAACTTTAAGGTTAAGCGCTTTTTTTTTTTTTCATTTGGCAAACCAAACTTAGGTAAAGGTAAAATGACTGAAGAATGCTTCAAGCGGGTTCTCTTAAAGGAGGCTTAATTGAATGATTCAAATATATAATGATTCTTTTTAAGAAGATTTTAAACTTATTGACAGTTTGCTAATTAAAAATTTCTCCAAAGAAATTTTTTTAAGATAGAACTGTTAGGTAGTTAGATAAGTAGGGGCACCAGGCAATTACATGGAGGAGAGGGAGGATGGTCCAGAAGATGGCATTATGCCGGCCTCCAGCATAAAGGGGCTTTACTTCTAAATGAGTGCCAGGAAAAATACTCGTTAGAACACGACAGCCACGACTGCAAGGTAGCAGAAAGGACCTAACTGGACATGACCAATGTTCACTGCATTATAATTAACAGTGCAGTTTAGGCACCCACTATGGTTTTTTTCTGTGCACACCATGGGTAAAGACATGTGCAAAGGGGCCAAACATGACTAAGCATTCCAGGGACAAGGGCTGTCAATCAAGAGACCACCTCTAAGCAAGGGTATAAGAGAAAGGGGAGACAAAAACCGCTGCTCTTCCTCCCTTGGATCATCCCACCTCTCGTTCTTGGGGATGTACTTTTCCTTTCTGTTTAAATAAATCCTTTAAAATATTTCGCTACACAACACACCGTCTCCCAAATATAAACTTGTCTTTTGGGTATGACAAGAACCGGGGTCTTTACCTTTTGGGGTAACAGAACTAGAGCTACTACAGGCATTTGCAGTCATTTGTTTTGTTTGGGGACATATCAATTTAGAGCAATATTTGACTTAATTTGAAATAAAATAACTATCCTTTGTATTAAGCTTCACAACTTATAAAGTACTTTCACACATATTACTCATTTAATCTGCACGCCCAACCTGAAAGATTGCTATCCTTTATTTCTCCTTTGATAGGCAAGAAAAAAGAAGCCTCAGACAGGTTAAGTGACTTACCCAAGGTCACACAGCTGGTAGTGTAGTCTGGGACTCATGCCTAGTTTTTCTAATTCCAGAATCTCATATTCTTTCCACTACATCATGCTGCCTATAGAAAAAAAGCATCTATATGAACACTTGATTTAAAATATTGAGCTCATATTTCTAAGTAGATTATTGTTCTTTTAGAAAACCAATGGCATTTCTGGAGATGTAATTATGTCGTGGGTTCAGTTCTAAAACATTTTAACAAGAAGATGATTGACAAAGTTTATTTTCAATGGAAGTCAAAATTAGCTGGACAATACTTTGAACTTACATAAAATCTATGGACAACAAACTTTAGTCAAAATTATAATTAAATATGTCAGGAATATATAGATAAGCATATATTTTAAATTTCAAATTCCAAGCCTTTTCTCTTTGGGTTGTTAGATTTTCTTCCTTTCTCTTCTCAGTCACTTAAGCCTCACCTTGGAGGTAGACTTCCTTCAAACTTTCTTTTGGTAAACAATCTAAAACAGACTTAACTGTGAGAGTTTTCTTTCATAAACTCCTTTGCTCCTGAAAGGGATAATTTCCTCACAAAGGAAACAAACGGAAGGAAGGAAATGGCATTGAGCAAGTCTGATATTGAAAAAAGGCAAAATTCTGTAATGCATGAAGGCTAACTCACACATTATCTAGAAAAAAAAATTAAGGCTATCAGAATTAGTCAGCACGGAAATTCATTCTTCACAAGAAAACTGAGCAAAACAAAGAATGAGATTTTAGAGACTTCAGAAGGACGTGCTGACCCAATGCCATACAATACACAAATTGACTCTTTCAAGCTTAAATTCAGTAGTAGCTTCACAGTTCTAGGAACTAGTCTGGCTGAAAAGAAATTATATTAAGCCAGGTTTGCAAGGTCAGGAAGTGAATAATTGATTGATTGAATGTGAACATGTCATTTTGATTACCCACAGAAGAAAGGTCGGGAAATAGTTACAAGATTATTCAGGAATGCATTTCTT